AAAAAAAATAGAAAGAACCTGGTGAGCGAGAGAGCAGTAGGCGACGGCTTGGCAACGGTGGCAGCGTCTGGTGGGAGGGCCGCAGCACGGCGTACGGCTTCCCTTTCCAGCGCACTCCATTTTTCACCAATGAAGTATGGTTAGATTTCCCAAAATTTTAGGTGTACTGGTGCGTTTAGGGCTTGTTTGTTTAAGGATTAATTTACTCACTTTTATTTCAACTCAAAATTTAACTCAACTTTAACTCAACTCCACTATCTTTAATATTATTCATATAATTAAATAAATAATATAAACCAATCATTCTTACATATCACATCAACTTTAATTCACTATTCATCCACTCACATATTTTTAACTACCTATCATTTTCAATTATTTCCAATCATTTATCTCTTACTTTTACATCAAATCAATTTTAATCATTTTATTTTAAATATTATTTTAATACATTTTTAAAATTCCACTAACAACTAACTATACTATCTTTTCAAAATTAACTATGGTTAACTAAAATAACTCATTTTGAACAAATTATGTTGGACTTGATCTCCTGCAAAATGATATTATCAACAACTTTAAGAGCCTGTATTCAATTGAGAATTTTAAGGATTTTTTAAAATTTTTTAGATTTGACGATTTTTGTGGACTTTGTAGAACTTTCATGATTTTGGTGGACTTTTTGAGACTTTTAGAAAAATTTTATTAGTGACTTTTTATGATATTCATAATGGACCTTTTAAAACTTATTGAGATATTTATATACTTGTAGTTATAATATTATGTTTAAATAAAATATTAATAAACGTAACATAATAACTAATATAAAAAAGAATAAATGAAAAAAGATGTTGTATATATTATTCCTCTAAAAATCTATGGATAAACTCATTTTTATGCGAAGTGAGTTATTCACCAATAAACTGTTTGGAATTTTAGATTTATTAAACGAGTAAATCGATCCGAGCTTCAACGAGTCGAACTCGAGCAGGGCCTTATATTAGTTTATTAAAAGATCACAAGCTCAAATATGTGTTAGACATTTCTGCTACAACGACACTTATAATCCACCATAATTAATATATATTTATTTAATTATTGATTGATTTTATTTTTTATATTTTTTTGCATATTGTTGTTATATTAGAAAAATATTATTAGGATTTATTTTTACAAGATACAAATATTGCCGAAAACAGTAATTGTGTCTTATAAAATTATCAATAATATTCAAATATTTCAATATTAACAAATAAACTATTTGTAAATAAAATATTTTTTTTAAAATATTGAAACAAACATTTACAAATAAAAAAGAGAACAAATAAATTATATTGCAAATGCAACTATGGAAGCATTTAACCTTTAAAAAAGTCAAATTTACAAGATAACAAAATGAGAGAATAAAGGTATAAACACATAAATAAGCATAATAAAGAATGTATAAAATAAAAAGATCACATTAATATATGTAATGAAAATAAAAAGTACACAAGATATCAAAATAAATAAGTAAAATAATAGAGCATAAAAATGATATGAGATACGAAGTCGTGTTAGAAAGAAAAAAAGAAAGAGTGTGAAAAAGTCACATAAGTCCAACAAAATCTCACCAATATTAATGAGATTTCTGTTAAGACTTTTTCTTTGTAATTTTGTTACAAAAGTCTCTAAAAGTCTAACAATTTAAAAAGTCTCATAAAGTCTATCTGTTTTGAATACCTGGTAACTTATAGAGACTCTCAGAATGTTTAATTGAATACTTTGAGACTTTTAGAGACTTATTAAAAGTCTTTAAAAGTCTCAATTGAATACATGTAAACTTTTCAGAAGTCTCTAAAAGTTTTAATTGAATACACCAGAATTCTGAAAGTATTAAAAAGTCTCTAAAAGTTAAAATTGAATACACCCCCCTTAATAAATTGTTTGGTTGAGAACAAAAAAAACCCATGGTACCACTAATGCTACACCAAAACTACCTAATAAACTAGTTTTTTTTTTTTTTTTTCATACTTTAGAGATGGTATATAAATGCGCACAAAACGTGCAAAAGTACAGCTACAAGCCGTATACAGACAACCAACGACTGAATACAAGCAGCCAACAACTGAAAAACAAGGAGGACCGGTCAAAAGACAGCCTAGAAACGACCCCAGAAGGGCAATACACTAGAAACGCAGAAGAACACAAACACACTAAAAACGACCTAAACAGGGTAATCACTGAGTGTGCGGTCCCAACAGAATAATCAATTTGCACTCGGGCGAATTGAGGCCAACGGCCCAGACCTAAAACACAAAAACAGACACCAAATAAGACAAACACAATAACAACTAAACCTAAACAAACACAACAAGCCCTTCCCCAGCAATCGAACAACCCTAGCATGCAGAGAACAAACGACATAAGAAAGATACCAGGCCCGAAGTATCACTACTGAAACTGCCTAAAGTCTATACAATAGCCAACATCGAGCCCCAAACCAATCCCCGAATCGACCCATCACCAACCGAGAGGAAGACAAACCACCCTCACACCAACTCCGGTCTAAACCCGTCTAACACCACTAGACGAGCTCGAGTGAACATGGACCCCCGCCGTCTAACACCACTAGCCGAAAAGGGAGGGTGAGGATAGCTCGGTACCTCAACCCCGGCCGCCGCAACCAGAACAGCCACAGCCTCCGGGGTCCCGCCCCGACCCCCGGCCCGCGCGCCTTCCAAATCCACTACAAACCGCCAGCGACCAAAGCCCAGAACCACCGAAGGCTCTGCCGAGAACGACGAAGGCGACCTGGAAGACCTCCGATGTACCAGCAAGAAAAATGACTAGGGTAACTCACCTTCAGTTGAAGACAGCCGACGACCACGGCCAGAGGAGCACCACCGCACGAACACATACACACCGGCGAAAGGAGGAAGGGCCTTCAATCGCGACATTTGCAGGGACCCGGAGGTTCGCGACCATAGGGGCGGGCCGAGCGGTCGGAGATGACCACTGGCCGGAGACTAATCGTCACAGAGGAAGGCAATCGCTGGAAAACAGGAGGGAGATGCGGAAGTTTGGCTGGGAGAATTGGGGGTTAGGGTTTCGAAAAAAGAATTCAATGATAAAAATCCCTAATAAACTAGTTAATAGATGATAAAATAGTTTAAAATTTATCAGTAATTTTTTAGCTTATGAGTTATAGCTGAAAAGTTATCTTATATGATAAAAGTATTTGGTAAAATTAAATGATAAGCTAGTTGAAATAAAAATTTCAATGATCTTATTTGAAAGTTACCCAAATAAGTTTATGAGATAAACTCGAGCTTTTTAAAAAAACTCATCCTACCATGAAATTTATTTAAATACAAAAAGTTTATAAGCTTTAAGTTATAAGGTAGCTTATTTGTATACAAACATAGTCTAAGTCTCGTTATTTTTTTTCCTTAATTCTCGTTTTACGTATTTGTTCACAAGGAGGGGAAAGAATCTTTCATGAATGAAAAGTGTATGTCGTTAAGGACACCTAGATTCACGAGATCTTGACAATTGGAAAAGTGGATATGGGAGGATCTCTTTCCTAACTGGGAGTCTCTTGATCACCAAGATACCCTAGGTATATAAGGGTAACCATGTTTTTTTACTTTACACAACATGCATATGCACACAAGAACATACATTCATACTAGTGATGTTATCAAGGAAAGACACAGACTTGAGTGTCAGAGGCTTTTTCATCGGGATCCCTCTCGACGTATTGCAGGTCATCGGATATCCGAGCTGTTGCAGGTTCGTGGTTCGCAATTCAACTGGTTTGAAGTAATTTTTGTATCAAATTGAACAGTCTGTGGGAAAAACTCCAACCTTTTACTGGCTATAAAAGACTGATCCATTTTTCTCACAATAAGTTCGGAGAATTTTGAAGACCATGTCAGGCGATAATTCCAAGAAGAATTTCACCAAAGAGTCGGACGAAGCATGGACAAGGAGAGCGTTTGGGACTCGCCCTCCCCTGGGCAGGTCACGGTCTGCAGGCTCACTCGTCACGTGCAAGAGACATTGTCGGCACCCCCATACGGCATTAACCCCGTTGTCATGTGCATCAGTGATACCCAATTTTCTGAAAACCAGACCGGTCATCGAACTGGTGAAACTACCGGTTCAATGGTTCACTGGTCGGACCAGTGGTCGAACCGGTTTAATTAATGTATAATTTTTATTTATTTTATATGTTTAATATATAATTGTAAATATTTTTATTATTGATTTTATAGGGTTAATGACATTTTTTTACATAAATAAAAAAAAACAGTAAATAAGAAATTGTTCATAGTCTAATTATTTTAGCTAACATGATATTATAATATTAATAAGTAATATTATTCTCATAAAAAATAATGTGATTATATCATTATAATGGAAGATAATTTTTTAAAAGCAATTAGGAGCAATACGTGACACATTAGAAAATAAAGAACTCATTTAAAAGCAATAAGGCTCAATAAAGAACTCACTTAGATATAATTTATTCGTAAATGACACATAAGAAAATTTTTAAAAGCAATAAGGCCAATAAAGAACTCACTTGAATATTTTCTTACGCCCAGGCTAGGTTCCAAGTGCCAATACCCATTTTTTAAACAATATTAAATAAGGCCCAATAATGCACAAAAGCCAAATAACCCTTTATTTATGAAAATCTCACATCGGATACACAAACAAAAGATATAAGCTATTTAAGTGATTTTATTGTTATCTACGTTCAAAAGCAGTACAGGACCGCTCAGCCGAAGTACTCATTTCCGTTTCTTCCGGTTTTGACCGGTTACAACGGTTTTTGACCAGTTTTGACACCTAGCGGTTCCATAACACTAACCAGACCGGTATACTGGCCGGTTCTCGATTAAGCCGGTCGAACCGACCGGTCCGGTCCGATTTTGATAACATTGGTGATACCTACAGCGGGGCAGGAAACACTTGCCAACCAATAGGAGACGAGGGACCAAGAAGTGTTAGATCAAACTGTGGCCCAGGACAAGAAAGGACACCAACATTGATGTCCGGGGGCCAACCGGTCTCGAGAGAAAACGAGAGGCCAACTTGTGGATCAGGGGACAGGAGGTCCCTAGGGGAGA